GCACAGGCAAAAACGTCTTGTCCTAGAGAGTACACACCCTCTTTTCTGTTACAACATGCACAGTATTTACTTGAGATATAATTACTTGCTTTCTCTTATATTACTCAACACAAAGTATCTTAAGATCAATAAACTCTCACAAGAGTCACTAACATGATGCATGAAAACATTACACAGCCACTGGTGCAGAATAAACTACAATACATGTGTACATATACACACACAAACTTTACCACACTCAGCAAAACCAAACTCTAATTCACTCAAAATGTCGCACAAACTCTCTTGGAAACTCCTAAAATTCTAACAAGTTATTACAGCCATGTTAACTTTGTTTAACAAAGGCAAAATACCTGAAAAAGGCTGAATCATAATCATGAGAATGTATGGCATGCTTCCTCAGTGAGAACTTAAATGAGAAAAACACCGGAATTCCCCAGATATGTGGGTGGAGACAGTTGATCTCAGGGTCTCAACTTATAGAGCAAAGATTAACACTCTTTTACATCTTAAATAACACAATGAGGAAGGCAGTGGAAATTAATGTTTTTTAGCATTTTAAACATTTTAACCATGTGAGCAATTTTCACTGTTTTACCCAATTTAATGATTTTAGCTAATCCTTACAAACTGTTACTCAGAAATGCATGTCTTAACCTTATTACAGATGTCAACATTAGGATACAACCCATGAACTTCCTTGGCCCACTTGTCACATCAGTGACTGAATTACTGACTAAATGTAATTAAGTATTGAAAGTAAAAGCACAAGTAAATACTGGTATTAAAATTGCATCTAAAAGGATTCAAAGAAAACCTTTGACTATCCAGGGCTGACACACTACAGTTGAACATCTGTCACAAAATTTTACTTTCTTGAATTAGTACTCCCCCTCTCTGCTGTGGGATGCCATTTCCTGCTTCCATAAAGAGTCAGTCTCATTGTTGAGTGATATGTAATCGCTAGCTTGTTGCATCTAATCTGACCTGCAGCCTAGGCTTGACTGCCTATCCAAACTAATCTGCAGCTTTGAGACTACTTGTTTGCACTTGCTATTATGTGATTAACCTGTAAGCTCGGACCACTGTTTCTCCAAACCCTCAGACTTTATTTTTGTAGCAACAAAGTAATGATGAAACTTAGGACATACAAAAACATACTGTAGACTGTAAATATAAATGTATTGGAGTAAAAGTATAGAGTTCATGCAGGAAATGTTGTGAGAAAGCTTTGTATAAAGAAAAAAAAATACAACGGAAGCTCTCTCCCACCCCATAAAGGCACAAAATAGTTCAGTCGCCCCTTCACTCAGATTCCTCTCCATACCGGGCTACAGCCAGGTAGCTCATGTTCTTGTCAGTGCTCTGTTGTGGATTAAGTCTTAACAGGTGATAATGTTTCTAAAATATTTCAAACTTAGTTTTGCATCTCTGGACTGCAACTTCTTGTTACTCACTGGCCAACATATACATTGATATTGATATATCAGCAATAAACTACAGTTGTGCAAATGCTTTTACAAAATTTGCATAGATCAGGGAGAACCAGCAGCAGTTTGATTACTAATCTGAGCTCACATCATCAGTGAAAAATGCAGGACATGTCAAAACAGGTCAAACAAATCAACTTGGCTGTGGTGCATTTTATCCCAAACACAACCATCTTTCAACACTGAGACAGACTCGGTTTGGCTGAAAGCTATTTGCACAGCCCTTCTGTCAACTGTCACAGAGGCTGCAGAGTCCTGACCTGCTCAGTGTATCTGATGGAAAGAGAAACTGATTCAGTGTTTTCTGCAGTATTTGTGAAATCTTAGAGAGAGAGCAGTGACAACCAGTGGTGGATGAAGTACCCGAAAGCCATACTTAAATAAAAGAACAGATATTTTATCAGAAAAAGACTTTGGTAGAAGTCAATGTCACCCATCAGAATATTACATGAGTGAAAGTCTTGAAGTGTCTGATATTTACTATATTGTACTGTATTTACTGTATATCTACTGTGCCCACTAGTCACATCAACCACCAAATTATTGACTAACAGGTCACAGTTAACTTCTGATAATAAATCAAACAAATACCATATCACTGATTAGTGAGCTAATCAGATGAAACAGCATCTTTCATCAGATCTCATTTTGATAAACAGAAGAACATTACTCATCCACTGTCTTCTTACTGATTTAGACCTAAACTCTTTCATTAGTCAATTGTTTGTTTGTATCAGGATGCAGAAGCTGAGCCCAGACTCTCCTGTACCCAGTTGTGTGTCCATGAAGAGTGACTGGTCTATGGGTCGTTTTGCTGAGTTTAAAGTTGGACAACCTATTGATAGAAGGTAAGAATTTAAACTAGCGTTTATGATCTGACTGTCCTGAGAGAAGGAATCATGTCTTGGTCCAGTGCAGTGTAAGGAAAGGAAGCCATATCCCCTGTGGTGTGCAGTTGGCTTTTTTCTTCCCTTTTTGCAGTGTCTAACAAATAGAGGACTATCTCATGCCACAATTACCTGTATGCAGCAGCCATGTTTTCCTGCCATGAGGGATTTGGTGACAGACTGGTCTTTACCTACCCTCTTGTGAAGCACTTCCTGCAGGGGAAATGCAAAAAACACCAGGTGATGTGTGCCTCCTCCCTGCTATGGGACCAGACATTAATATTCGAGTCCTCGGTGAAGAATCCCTTTGAGCCTCTGGAGTTCTCTTCAGTGAAGGTGTTGTCATTCAAGACATCTTTGCTGTTTGCCTTGACCTCAGCTAGAGACTGTGTGAACTGAGCAACTTGTTGGTGCACCCCAGTTGCTTGCTTTTGTGGCGACCACAGTGGGGCTACTCTCAGACCAAATCCCTCCATCCAATCCCTTTTTGTCTTCAATCCCATGAGGGGGTCAGGGAGCATATTGCATCAGCTCTTTCCAATTCGTGTTGGGATGTTGGCATGTTATGTTGACCCCTGGCCCCTGTCTGATGCACTGTTTGTGTATGTTTTGGTGATGGTTTGGCTGTTAAGGCCCTATCCAAGAAACACTTTGCGTGATATCTTCGTGAGTGCATCTCCCAAGCCTACAGGCAGTCAGGGACCCCCTGTGGTTTACATACACTCGACACACGGTGAGGCACTGTCAGCAGAGTTGTTCACCATGGTAGGTGTCAATTACATATGTACAGTGGAATTGTGATCTATTCCCTGCCTATTCATACTGTTCTATCTCTTGGACATGTCTGTGCTTGCTGGAACAACACAGGACATGTGAAAGGGACTGGGTGTATTTCAGCTGTTTTGCAACTGGCTCCCCTCTAGGCATGATACAACATGTTTCCTTGCTCCTTTATGACCTGGAAAATGCCACTGTGGTGGTTTAGGTTATAAAGAAGTAGGCAGGCTACAGTGACTAACCTTTAGCTGATCAGGATCAGTTTGTCTGGGTCGATGTTATATCGCGACAGAGCATTCATATATCGGGCTCCACCCACTATGCTCATTGGGTCCGTCCCAAGTCAATTAAATTACTTCTAGTGCTACTGCTAGCCGACTTTGCTAGCTGTTTAGCCCCTCCCACCTAGGAAAAAATGTGAGGAGCTAGCACTAGGAGCGATGAGCGAGCATTGTCGGTTTAAGAGACATGAGACGTCCTTTCCACTGGACGTCCACCCTGACATCAGACCTGTCAGTCTGCCTCAATCAATTCAATTTTATTTATAAAGCCCATTATCACAAATCACAATTTGCCTCACAGGGCTTTACAGCATACGACATCTCTCTGTCCTTAGGATGCTCACAGCTGATCAGTAAAAACTCCGCAAAAAACCCCTTTAACGGGGAAAAAATGGTAGAAACCTCAGGAAGAGCAACTGAGGAGGGATCCCTCTTCCAGGACGGACAGACGTGCAATAGATGTCGTACAGAACAGATCAACATGATAAATTAACAGTATTCGTATGACACAATGAGACAGAAAGAGAGAGAGAGAGAGAGAGAGAGAGATGCAGGACAGACGGTAATGACAGTAGCTTACAACAACATTAAAGTAATAATATTAATTAATATTAATATTAATAGGCTAATTAATATTACCTACAAGCTATTGAACATTCCACTCACATGACATGCAGGACAATTAATGATGGGCAAATGTGTGTGTGTTTGTGTGTGTGTGTGTGTGTGTGTGTGTGTGTGTGTGTGTGTGGTGTTATGTCAACACATGTGGTTCTGGACATGAGCAGCTGCACATTTAACAGCCACACATCACCGACAGTCCGCTGAACAACGCAATGGATTGTGAATGAAATAAACTTAATTACAACTTGACAGTCTTGCACGAAATATCATTAACGTTACTCTTTGTAGTCACGTAGTCATGTGAATTACAGAGTTTCATTGCAAAGAATGCATGTAACAGGTACACTTGCGCTATTTCTCCGCCATCTCGTTCAAATGAGCCAGATAAAGGGGGCGGGTATTTATACATCATGGCCTCAAGCTGTTAGGAACCTCTCGACCATCCTAGCTTGTAGCTGCTTAAAGCCTGCTGCTAGCTCCTAGCGCTAGCTCCTCGCTGCACAAATAAGAGACTTGGGACAGCCTAGAAGACGGCGGACCTCGAACGACTTCCGGTTCAAGTGAGGAGCTAGCACTATAAAAATAAGAGACTTGGAACGCACCCATTGAGTCCAGTAGAGGGCCCCACCTGTGTGAGATAGAACAAAGGTTACCATATTTGTATGTATCAGACTGCAGCAGCAAAGACCAGTCTCTTTTGAGACCAGCTGCATGTCCATGAGGAGTGACCAGTCTATGAATATCCCTTTTGTGTTTAAAGTTGGACAATCTTCTTATGAAAGGTAGGCATTTGACATCCAGAAAGCCCATTACATCCAGGAGCAGCATTTACTTTGGAGTTCATGTTGACATCATGACAGAACATCTTTAACAAATTCTGTGCAGATTTGTGTCATTGAATGTCCTTGAACTTGATCATACTGTATGTCCACAGAGTTCAGCAGGAGGGCTTGGAGATTCCCAGTGATCAGTCTGTCCAGCAGCATCAAACAAAACTGCACTCCATATTTATGGTGAGTACGTCACTCTGTTTAGACCAGCAGGCCTTCAAACTAACAGATGAATAACATGCTGTGCTCTACCACTTCAAAGTAACATTTTCAGCTTATTTTTCTGTTCCAGCTGCTGGAGGAGGACATCATCACTTTTTCAAAGACTGAGCTGAAGAGGATCCGAAGGGTTCTGAGTCCAGATTACCCATTAGACCTGTGTGAGGATGAGGAGGTGTTAGACAGTAAAGATGAAGAGCAGAGGAGAAGCAGCAGAGAGGCATTTCTGATGATCACACAGCACTTCCTGAAGAGAATGATGCAAGAGGAGCTGGCAGACTGTCTGCAGAGCAGTAAGTGGATTTTAACAGATTTAATATGATGGAAAGAAGAAATTGAGGCAACATGAGAGAATTTTCAATTTCAAACATCTACTGTAAATATGCTGCATATGTCTGCATCAGATCAAAGGCTGTTTGTTATCCACTAATGACCTGAATAGAACACTATACCACCAAATTCTCCGATTTTGTGTAGGGTTCACTCACTAATTCCATTTGTTGTTTGTTTATTCAGGAACTCATAGTGCAGTGTGCCAACGTAATCTTAAATCTAACCTGAAGGAGAAGTTTCAGTGTGTGTTTGAGGGAATTGCTAAAGCAGGAAACCCAACCCTTCTGAATCAGATCTACACAGAGCTCTACATCATAGAGGGAGGGAGTGGAGAGGTCAACAATGAACATGAGATCAGACAGATTGAAACAGCACTGAAGAAAAAAGACAGACCAGAAACAACAATCAGATGTGAAAACATCTTTAAAATCTCACCTGGAAGAGATGAACCAATCAGAACAGTGATGACAAAGGGAGTGGCTGGCATTGGGAAAACAGTCTTAACACAGAAATTCACTCTAGACTGGGCTGAAGACAAAGCCAACCAGGACATAAAGTTCATGTTTCCATTCACCTTCAGAGAACTGAATGTGCTGAAAGAGAAAAGGTACAGCTTGGTGCAACTTGTTCATGACTTCTTTACCGAAACCAACGAAGCAGGAATCTGCAGCTTTGAAGAGTTCCAGGTTGTGTTCATCTTTGACGGTCTGGACGAGTGTCGACTTCCTCTGGACTTCCACAACAATGAGATCTTGACTGACGTTACAGAGTCCACCTCAGTGGATGTGCTGCTGACGAACCTTATTAGAGGGAAACTGCTTCCCTCTGCTCGCCTCTGGATAACTACACGACCTGCAGCGGCCAATCAGATTCCTCCTGACTGTATTGACATGGTGACAGAGGTCAGAGGCTTCACTGACCAACAGAAGGAGGAGTATTTCAGGAAGAGATTCAGAGATAGGGATCAGGCCAGCAGAATCATCTCTAGCATCAAGACATCACGGAGCCTCCACATCATGTGCCACATCCCAGTCTTCTGTTGGATCGCTGCGACAGTTCTGGAGGATGTTTTTAAAATCAGAGAGAGAGCAAAGCTGCCCAAGACTCTGACCGAGATGTACATCCACTTCCTGGTGGTTCAGACCAAACTGAAGAACATCAAGTATGATGGAGGAGCTGAGACAGATCCACACTGGGATCCAGAGAGCAGGAAGATGATTGCGTCTCTGGGAAAACTGGCCTTTGAGCAGCTGCAGAAAGGCAAACTGATCTTCTATGAATCAGACCTGACAGAGTGTGGCATCGATATCAAAGCAGCCTCGGTGTACTCAGGAGTGTTCACACAGATCTTTAAAAAGGAGACAGGGCTGTACCAGGATAAGGTGTTCTGCTTTGTCCATCTGAGCGTTCAGGAGTTCCTTGCTGCTCTTCATGCCCATCTGACGTTCATTAACTCTGGTGTCAATCTGCTGTCACAAGAACAATCAACATCCTTGTGCCCTGCAGTGTTAGGATGCAAAGCAACACGTTTCTATCAGAGTGCTGTGGACAAGGCCTTACAGAGTCCAAATGGACACCTGGACTTGTTCCTCCGCTTCCTCCTGGGTCTGTCACTGTCAACCAATCAGAAACACTTACGAGGCTTGCTGAAAGTGGCCAAAAGGAGCTCACAGACCAATGCGGTAACCACTGAGTACATCAAGAAGAAGATAATGGAGAATTTCTCTGCAGAGAAAAGTATCAATCTGTTCCACTGTCTGGATGAACTCAACAACCGTTCTCTAGTGGAGGAGATCCAACAGTCCCTGAGATCAGGAAGTCTCTCAACAGATAAGTTGTCTCCTTCTCAGTGGTCAGCTCTGGTCTTCATCTTACTGTCAGAAAAATATCTGGATGTGTTCGACCTGAAGAAATACTCTGCTTCAGAGGAGGCTCTTCTGAGGCTGCTGCCAGTGATCAAAGCCTCCAACAAAGCCCTGTATGTGCACACATAACTATTCAGATTAGATGCCTTTTTCTTTAATCAGAAATGTAAACAGCTCATGTTTGTAACTGTTTGTCTTGTATTGCTGATTCCTCTCCAGGTTGAGCAGCTGTAAACTGTCAGAGAAAAGCTGTGAAGCTCTGGCCTCACTTCTCAGCTCCCAGTCCTCTAGTCTGAGAGTGCTGGACCTGAGTGACAACAACCTGCAGGATTCAGGAGTGAAGCTGCTGTCAGCTGGACTGGAGAGTCGACAGTGCAGATTGGAAATTCTCAGGTCAGTAGTCAGTTGTTTCTAAAGAATAATTCAGCAGGTTAAAATGAAAGCTTTTTTGTCATTTTTATGATGTTTTATAAAGCATGGTAGCAATAATGTTCTGAAGGGTTTTGCATTCTCCCAAGCTGAGCAGGAAATAAGAATAACAAAAAGAAAAATAGATGGAGCTGCAGATGGCTGCTGGTTCTGTAGTAAAGTTCAATTTGATATTACAGTTGTCTAAGTGAAGACTATAGTATAAGCCAAATCATGTAAAAGACTACTCAAGTTCTATAAAAGCAAGCTAATTACAGTTTGTACTGCCCTAGATCAAAATCAAACCAAATCAAGTTTATTGACCAAGCTGACCAAGATTACTAACATGCCAGGAATCTATCTGGCATGTTAGTAATCTAGATCAAAATCAAATCAAATCAAGTTTATTGACCAAGCTGACCAAAATTACTAACATGCCAGGAATCTATCTGGTCAAACTGACCTCCACCCCCCCCAAAAACTATTTGTAAACAAATAAATGGGCTTGCCTTCCCAGCTAAACCTTTCACATGGAGGTTGAGCAATATCATAAACTGACAGTTAGAACACACCCTAACCAGTTTTCCACCTCCAGAGAATCGCGCGTGTCAGGGCTAGTCTCATCTGCCAGTCACCTTGCCACATTGAGTGCCTTTCACCTATCTCACTAATAACCATCAACAAATACAGTTAGATTTGGCGGGAAAAGTCTCTACTCCCTCAGGGTGGCTCTGAAAGAATCTGAGCAACAACAAGGATTCTGCTGTGAGAGCGAATCCTCCAAAACAAAATGATTGCTCCCTGCTTGATAAGTATTATCAGGGATTCGTTAGAGCTCCCAAATCAAAACAGCCACAGTGATCCACCATCCAAAATCTATACAAGAAGAATTATCTTCTCAAGGGAAATACACTAAACTAATATGTAACTAACCTATGTGAAGCAACAACATATTGCGATTTCCCTTAAAAGCAAGCAAGCCCTTCTTATCTAAGATGTAACTCAATTATATCACTCATGTCAGATGAATATACGGCAAGACAGACAGTATTTTGATGCAAGGAGTCTCACTGCAGCATTCTGCATGAGCTGCAGGCGAGACAAAGATGACCTGCCAACACCCAGGTATAGTTGCAATAGTCGAGCCTTGAGAAGATTAATGTAGTGGTTACAGTCTTTTCACTGGAAGGGTTCACAGGGTTTACTAACATGCCAGAAATCCATCTGATCANCCACACACACACACACACACACACACACACACACACAAAATGTATGTCAACAAATAAACCAATCCGGCGGATCTTTGTCCTGAATCTAAAATCAGTGGAGGCAAACTTTTTGTCAAAAAGTCAAGCATATGACAGTGCAAAAAACACTCCAAGGGAAACTTGGAGAAAAGTGGAAACTCCCATGATCCATCAGCTATCATTGCAAAGAGCTGGTCTATTGTTTTTATGTCAGGGAATGAATCTGCTGTGCTGCTCATAAATCTGAGTTAGTCAAACAAATGGGACTGCCTTCAAAGCTAAACCTTTACACGGAGGTTGAGCAACGTCATAAACTGACAATTCGAACACACCCTTAATTTCCCCCTTTTTAAATGGGAACCAGTTTTCCACCCCCACAGACTCTCACGTCAGGGCTAGTCTCATCTGCCAGGCACCTTGCCACAGTGAGTAATTCTGAATTATCTCACTAATAACAAACAACAAATGGTTATAGTTAGATTTGGCGGGAAAAGTCTCTGCTCTTTCAGGGTGGCTCTGAAAAAATCTGAGCAACAACAAGGATTCTGCTGTGAGAGCGAATCCTCCAAAACAAAATGATTGCTCCCTGCTTGATAAGTATTATCAGGGATTCGTTAGAGCTCCCAAATCAAAACAGTCACAGTGATCCACCATCCAAAATCATACAACAAGAGTTATAATTTTCTTCTCAAGGGACATACACTAAACTAATATGTACAGTAGCTAACCTATGTGAAACAACGACATGATGCTATTTCCCTTAAAAGCAAGCAAGCCCTTCTTATCTAAGATGTAACTCAATTATATGAATCATGTCAGATGAATATATGGCAAGACAGACAGTATTTGCAAGGACGCAAGGAAAATATTTGAAATGAAGCTCAGACATCACCCTGGCAGGAGTTAAAGGAAGATATGGCAGGATACTAACAGTATCCTGATTTGAGGGCAATGTTCTAAGCTAAACTGTACATATCCAATGTGAAGCAACACCACACTATGGTAGCACTAGCTAGCAGAGCCCTTCTCCTATGAGACGTAACTTGGGCAGTACACCTCAAAATAACTTTTCGGCAGATACTAACAGTATCCCCATCCAAGGGAAATATTCTAAACTAAAAAGCAAGAAGGAGACTGAAATTGTCTTTAATGTCAGTGAGCCCCTCTCATCCGAGATATAACCTTATACTGAAAACTCTCTGATGAATACAAGGGAAATATTCCTCAACTAAAATGTACATAAATGATCTACAGAAACCCTACTTTTATGCAAGTGTGTAGAAATGCAAATAGTTCATGCTTATCACAAACTGGACCTGAACAGTAATGGCACAGCAGCAAAACGAAACTGAGAAAATAACAAACAACAATGCAGCCACAGCTAGCTTGTCAACATTACCAAGCAAACACAACTTGCACTGAGCCAAAACATGCCATGTCACTAGCAATGAACATCCAAAGAAGCACAGCAGCACTTACTTAGCTTAGACCCATGCACAATGGTGAGTCAAATCTGGCATGTAGGTGAGTCGTCACGGTCCAACAGCCAACACAGGAAATCCCTGCTTTTCCTAGTATTTATGCTCTTCAATGAAGTCACCCAAAACAAGAGGCAAAGACTGTGTCAAGTAAATGGCAGCAGCAAACAGCATTGGCTTGAACGTGCGTAATAAGCAGAGTAACAGTGATAGTATCATATTATAGTGTCCCCACCTGCATGAATATGATTGGATACTACCAGCTACACAGTGAATGAGCCCATGAGGCATATCGCAAGCCGCTGATGACAGTCAGCCATTACAAGCAAGACTTCAGCGCTCTGCCTGACCAACACTGTGCTCTATTAGTGTCAGTGACAGTTACAGTCTTGGACTAACCCAGAACTCATTTCAATTCAGAGAGTTTACACTGACTCTGTGTGTGTGTGTGTGTGTGTGTGTGTGTGTGTGTTTTGTTAATTTATTTTAAAACATTGAATTTCCACAGTATTAAATGGGCGAAAATAAATAAATGAAGAGAATAAACTGGCAGACAGGCACTTAAAAGCTAAAATGTGGTAAAATAAAAGGACTTTTAAAATGGCTAAAATACTTAAAAAATGCCCAAGCACAAGATAGTATTAAATAATTTAAAAAAATGATTAAACAAGCATAGTTCATGTATACATAGGCTATGTATATATACAGTACAGGCCAAAAGTTTGGACACACCTTCTCATTCAATGCGTTTTCTTTATTTTCATGACTATTTACATTGTAGATTCTCACTGAAGGCATCAAAACTATGAATGAACACATGTGGAGTTATGTATTTAACAAAAAAAGGTGAAATAACTGAAAACATGTTTTATATTCTAGTTTCTTCAAAATAGCCACCCTTTGCTCTGATTACTGCTTTGCACACTCTTGGCATTCTCTCCATGAGCTTCAAGAGGTAGTCACCTGAAATGGTTT